CGCTCCAGCGGCGGCCGACGTCCGTCCGTCTGCGGTAATGAGCGGCGGCGGCGGCGCCAACAGGTGGCCGCCGCGGTGCCGTTCGCCGGCAGCCGTGCGCCTCCTACCTGGTGTCCGCGTCGCGCGCCCACGTAGAAGGAGCGGCGAGACGAGCAGCGCGGTGGCCGTCACCAGGAGCGAGCCGAGAGCCAGCCGCCGCAGCATGCTGCCGGCGGCCGGCTGGGCGGCGCGCGCGACCGCCGGCGCCGCCCGGCTCTGGCCGTGCCGGCCGCCGGCCGCCGGCCATGATTCATGACCCCGGCCGGCAGGCGACCGGCCGGCGGCCGAGCAGCGGCGCGCGCGCCGGCTCCACCACACTGCCGGGCCCGCCCCCCGGCCACACCGTACGCCGGCGGGCCGGCGGGCCGGTCACGCCGCGTCCCGGCAGGCCGGCCGGGCGCCGCCTCTCCGCAGCCGGACCGCCTCACGGCACCCGCGTCTGGCAAGCGCCGGCGCTCTGCTCCGTCCCGCCCCGGGCCGACGCGCCGGCACCAGCGTCGCGCAACACCGCCTCTCCTGACGGCGTCCGTGCCGCCCGACGCCCGGCGCAACCTGTTGCGCGCCAGAGGCCGCGGTCGGCTCTGCGGGCCGTCGGACAGGGCGCGGCGCCGGTGGCCGGTCGGCGCGCTGCGCGCGCGCCGCCCTCCGCAGCCGGCCGTCGGCGTGCGGGGTCGCGCCGCCGGCCGGCCGCCAGCCAGCCAACTGCCGGCCGTACGCGCGCCGCGTCAGCGCGCCCGCCTCTCTCAATAGAGAGCGGTTCGGCGCGGCGGAGGAACGCGCCGCGTGTCGGTGAGCCGACACGCCGCTCCCAGAGTCGCGCACTGCCGTCGCAGTTGGGGCGTCGCGGAGACATGCCGCGGACGCCGAGCACCGACGGGCGTCGTGAGCTGTTCGAGCCGAGTCCAGTTGCGATGCCGTTTCGGGCGAGAAAATACAGTTGACGGCAGGGGCGCGACGACAGCTCCACGCGAGATAATGGGTTGATGCGGTCGGGCCCAAGCACAACTACACCGCGGACGGCGGCCCGCCGCCTGTCGACCCTCATCGCCCCCGAAATAATCTTCGTGCACGGAAACGTCTCGCGGACGATTGGACCTGGATCTGAACCTGTCTCTGAGCCGGCAGTGGTCCCCTGGCCCGGGCACGATCAGCGATTAATTACGTCGGGCGGTCGGCCGACGCCTACCTGCCCACGCCAGTACCATCCATAACCGCCCACCGACGGCCGGGCGGCGACGGCGCCGGCGCTGGTCCCCGCACGGAGAGCCGCCGGGCGGCGCGCCGGCCTGTCCCGCGGCGTCAGCGGGTGACCGGTCGGGCCCGCGCGCGCGGGGGCAGCGGCGGCGTGACACAACGTGCCGCGGAGGACAATGCGCCGCTTGTGGCAGCGCCGCGCCGTCGTGTTTACTGAGCGCCGCCCTTGCAGCGCGCCGAGGGGCGGGCAGGCCGTGGCGTGAAGTCCTGGGCACCTGGCGCCGACGGCCGGCCGCTGGGCGGAGGACCCCCCGGCCGGCGGCGCGCCCTGCCCGGGACGACACACGAGCCGTCGGTCTCCGGCCGCCGGGGCCGCTGACCGGCCGGACGGCGCGCCCCGCCAGATGTGCCGAGGACGGCGCGGCGCTGCGGCGCGGCGCCCCACACAGTCGCACGCGGACGACGCTGCTGGGGTCATTCACAACGACCCACTACGACGCATGCCACGGTTCGCAACTGATGCTGCCTTAAAGGGTTGGCCACTTCGAAAGGTTTTTACAATAGCCTTTTACTGGAGTGATAAATTATTTTGATCAGTTGCAAGCAGTTTTTTCAACCAACCATTTTGATCAGTGCAAGCAGTTTTTTCAACCGTAGCCAAACCACAAATCCGGTAAATACGGCACTTTGCCTTCAGTCATAACGATACGGGCATGGTAAATGGGCTTCAATAACGCACGTGCCGCGGTGACCGAAGGCACATCTCGGTGGCGCTCACGAACTAATGTTAGTAAGGTCAGCCGACCTACTACCCACGACGATGTGTAACTAATTTGTAACTAATGTAGGCACAGCAGGGTTACAAGAACGTCCCAAATGAATCGAGCAGACGAGCCGTAGCTTTTTATACGCTATAAAAACATTCCCAACAGGTTGAGCCACTGAGCTTCATGACAGAAAACCCACGCAGGGTCTCCCCGCCATTGCGTCGCAATCGTGTTACCACGAATCTAATTTGTAACGTTTAAAATATCGGTGACCGTCTTGCAGGGAAATAGACGAACGGTAATGAAACGATCAAACTGTTAGTTGCATCGTAACTGCTGCCGCGATTCGCTGGGACCGGTGCCGAGCAGTGCAGTGGCACGGACGGGCCAGCCCGGCCACACGACTGTGGCAGGTGGCCATGGCACCAGGCCATGCCAGCAGCCCGTCGCCAGGACCGGGAGACGGCGGGCGGCGGCGGCCCGCCGCTGACCGCCGTCCCGTGCACACGGCCCGGCGGCCTTCCCCGCCAATTGACGGCCGCTGCGGCCGCCGACAGGGACGCGCCGCACGCGACAAGGCCGGCGCGGCCGGCGCGCCGCAGACCGCTGCAGTGGGGCCCGGCCTGCGCCGCGCCGGCCCGCGCCGGCCGCACGCAGCAGGGCAGAGCACGGCCGAGAGGCGTCCCGACGGCGGGCAGGCGCCCGGGGCGCCGCCGGCCGGCCAGCCGGGCCGCCACACCGGCAGCCGCGGAGCGTGCGTCCCGCCGGGGACCGAGCCACGTGCGTCCCGCCCCCGTCCCGTGAGCTCAGACGCCGGCTGTGACATCAGCCCCGCGCCCCCTGACGGCACCGGCCGAGCCGCGCGCCGCTCCAGACGCCCGCGCCGCCCCCAGTCGGCGCCGTCTGACCGCTGTCGGCCGCCGCCGGGCGACACCCGGTGGACGTGACAGCTGGGGCGGCCCCGCTATATACATAAGGCCGCCGCTTCCATTTGTATTAATCAGTCGGCTGTCGCGTCCGCCGATTCTTAGCCACCGATAGCCCGCTACAGGTGACATAATTGGGCGTGGCCAGAATGGCAAGCGCCACGCTGACGAGGCCACCCCGGGACGGGCAGACGTAACTCGCACACATGTGGCACGTCCAATTAAAGAAAAAGGGTTTATCACAATCTTTGGCTGGGGCGGGCGGAGCTACCTGACAAGCGGGAAAAATACCCAGCCAGATAACCGCTCTGTAAGGATATGAGATATGCCAGAGGTAGATTGTTAATGATCTACCTCAAGGCCCAGATACGTCTTTAGATCATCTAATGTCTCTACTATAATGCGGCGCATTCTTGGTGAAATCAACATTGTGAGACCAGGCCGCCAAGCGTTGCCAACCAACCGAGCAATGTCTTCCGCTTTGAATACAAATAGATGAAAGCTATATATTCACACGGACATCTTGGGCACGGAATGGCAATGCGTCTCCAACCTGTGTTGAGATGTGGCAGCGAAAGAAAACAGCTACCAGAAGTCCGTGTTTTTCGAGAGAAACTCGACTACAACTATTCCGAAATATATTTCTCACAAAATAGCTTATTCAAACAACATCCGGGGGCCTGCGCCAACCTGCCACGGAGCCCTGCACATCACACAGAAGACCTTGAGCGGGGATTCTCTCTCTCCCGACGTTCGGGATGAGGTGGCCATCAACACAGCGATGACTGCGAACGCTGAGGTGTCTGGCAATAGCTGTATTGCCAACGCTGAGGTGTCTGGTAATCGCCATATTGCCAACGCTGAGGTGTCTGGTAAAGGTCGCATTGCGAACGCTGAGGTGTCTGGCAATAGCCATATTGCCAACGCTGAGGTGTCTGGTAATAACCATATTGCCAACGCTGAGGGTCTGGTAAAAGCCCCATTGCGAACGCTGAGGCGTCTGGCAATAGCCATATTGCCAACGCTGAGGTGTCTGGTAATAACCATATTGCCAACGCTGAGGGTCTGGTAATAGTCCCATTGCGAACGCTGAGGCGTCTGGCAATAGCCATATTGCCAACGCTGAGGTGTCTGGTAATAGCGATATTGCCAACGTCGAGGCATCCGGCAATAGCCGTATTACCAACGCTGAGGTATTTGGCAAGTCACATTGCGAATGCTGGAGTGTTTGGCAAAAGCCACGAACGTAACTTTCGGCATCGATGTGGCGCTGCGGTCCGACCGTAACGCGAAGAAGAGCGCGACATGACCTTTGCTGTCGACGCGCCCCAAAATCCCAACTCATCATCATGAAACCCAAGAAATATAGACGCTCGCAATTGCATATCATTTTTAGCGTTGCCACATAACCGAGGAGATACGCATATGCTGTAGGTTTTCTTACGGACGCTTGGCGTCGCGAATTCAGCCCGCGAAATACGGCGCGACACGGCGGGGCAGGCGGGCAACATCTCCTCTGTGGTCGGCCATTATTAGGCCATCACTGTCACTCACGCTAGATGACGACAGAGCAGACAAGATCAGCCCACGCCCAAACGACTTTCAATAACCGATTTTTGGACAAGTGTTTGGACATTTCTTGCTGATACATCGCAGGCCTCCGTTTACTCTTTTCAGTGTGTATAACGCCTAAAAACCAGAAGCGCATGGGAGCCGTTCGTCATCATAACGAAGATAAGCGGCTGCGAACGATCGCACTGGAGCCGCCCCCCGACCCTGGCGTGCCGCACAACATAAATACTGTCAGGGCGGGCGCGCCGCCGGAGCGTCACCACTCACCGGGCACGGGGCTACGGGACGGCAGCGGAGTGGGGTCAGCTGTCAGGGCGGGCGCGCCGCCGGAGCGTCACCACTCACCGGGCACGGGGCTACGGGACGGCAGCGGAGTGGGGTCAGCTGTCAGGGCGGGCGCGCCGGCGGAGCCGTCACCACTCGCCGGGCACGGGGCTACGGGACGGCAGCGGGGTGGGGTCAGCGCAGGGGCAGTCAGCTGTTCATGCAGGGTCAGGGTCAGTCAGGTGTTAATCTGGGGTCGGCGGTCGGGTCAGTCGGCTGTTAATCCGGGGTCAGGGTCAGGTGTTCATCCAGGATCAACGGTCAGGTCAGTCAGTTGTTAATCCAGGGTGAGGCAGGGGGGGTCCGGTCAGTTAAGGGTCGGGCCGGGACGGGGGATACTGCACACCCGTGTTTCCGGTCACTCTCGGCGGGCCAGCCCCGGGTCCGGCGTCGGTCCGGTGTCAGTCCGGTGCCGGTCCGGTGTCAGTCCGGTGCCGGTCCGGTGTCGGTCCGGTGCCGGTCCGGTGCCGGTCCGGTGCCGGTCCGGTGTCGGTCCGGTGCCGATCCGGTGTCGGTCCGGCGCCGGTCCGGTGCCGGTCAGGACCGGTCATCCCCGCTCAGCGGCCGTCACGCCGCCGCCCGGCAGGAATGGCCGGCCGGCCGCTGGCCCAGCGCGGGCCGGGGGAGGCAGGTCGCCGAGCCGTGTCGCCGTCCTCGCCTCGCGACCCGAACCGGCACACCTCGGCCCGCTGTCCGTCGCCGCCGGCCGGTATTCTTGGCCGGCGTGGCGGCGGCGCCCGACGACGGGCGACAGGTGCCGACGTGTCCACGTCTGGCCGGTCGACTGACGCGCCGGCCTCAGCCCAACAGAGGCCAGGGCCGGCGCGCCGCGCAAACGGCCTCGCTCGGCAGCCGCAGCCTGACACCGCTGGACCCTGCTCGCTCGCAGCAGCTGTGCAGCTCACTGATTCCCCGCAGCAGCGGATTACCACGCAGCAGAGACGCAATGCACGCAAAATGGAACCAGCGTCGCAATACCGCGAGAAGCGAGAAGCTCCTATTGTTGTTGTAAGGGCTTTACGACGAACGCGGTTGCTGAAGCCATGCTGCGTCGCTTGCCTCTCACTCTAGCAGCAAAGGCGGGCAACGCGGAAATCGACCCCCGTCTCTCTGGTTTCCCAGACGCGCAGCTTAACCACCACGCCACCGGGCGACACCAGATCTAGACGCCGCGGGACAGCCTCCATCCAAGGCGCCATCGCGCGCGCCTCCATCCAGGGAGGCACTCACGCGCGGCGCGGCGCGGCGCTACCGCGGCACGAGTGCGGAGCCCGCGCTGCAGCCGGTCACCACGATCAGAGCCACCCGGCCGAAACAATCCCACACCCCGATCGCTCGCCCGCCGCTGCCATGGCGTCACGTGACCACGCAGCGCCGGCCAGCCGCCGAGTCACGTGACCACAGCAGTTGGCAGCGTCGTCCGCCGCCGAGCTAATCTACGGCCGCAAACAAACAGGCGGATTTCGGCGGGCGGCCCCGATTTCAGGACCACGCGCGACCGGCGGCGTATTTCGGTACGGCGACGGGCGGCCGGCGCGGGTCACTGGCCCCAGACCGTGGGGGGCGACCGGCGCCGTCGGACCGTCACGGTCGGCAGCGTCACCCACCAGGTCAGCGCGCGCCGGACAGCCGCTGGGGGAGAGGCCCCACCACGCATGGCACCGAGCTGCAACCACCAGTGCGGACGGCTGGCACTTATTCTATTGCCCGCGCCGCCATGAATGCCTCTCCGGCTCGCACCAAGCGAGTGCCTCTCTCGCTCGCACCAAGTAACAACCAAGTCCCGCACCGACGCCTGACTGACCTTCATGAGCATCTTCTTGCTGAGCTTCTGGTTGATCTCGGGCCGGTTGGTGATGCTCTTAGCGCGCTGGGCGTAGTCCAGCGTGCTGAGCGTCTCCTCCAGGTTGCAGGAGGCTGGCGACACGGCAGCGATGATGGAGGTCTTGGTGCGCCCGCCCAGCGAGTCCTGCAGAAGCCGCGTCAGCTTCGACTCCCTGCGGTCAGGCCAGTGGGGGTCACACACGGTCCGCGCCAGGACAGATCACACACAGAGGTCGGACCGGGTCGCACACACGACGAGCGGTCTTGGCAGGTCACACATAAACTGCAGTCACGGCGGGTCACACACGGCCAGATTGTCAAGACGGGGCCGGAGATCAACACCGCTCACAAGCACGCAGGGCCGCAATGGATCACGCATAGGCAAAGGCCACCACAGGTAACATACGATCAAGGCGGGTCACGTCCAAACTGAGCCACTGCAAGCCACACACAGGCCGGGAGGGTCACGGCGGGTCTTTTGTTGTCAGAGGTCAGGACAAGCCGTGCCAGGTACGGGCGTGCGTCAGTCCGTAGCCGGTGTCGTCCGAGCTGGCTGTCGAGGCCAGCGAGTTCCGCGTGCCGCCACGGTCCGAGGCCATCAATCGGTTGTCAGTGTGGCAAAGGCTCGCAGCTCCGCCGTGACAAGGCATGGACAAAGCACTGCCACACGGACGCCCATCCTCGCGCGCTGAAGCGAATCGCGCGGGGAGATCTAGAACGTGCCGTGCATACGGTGCCGGACAGAAGGGGCTTAGCAGATAACGTCCGTCATCCGTTGCGATGTTTGGTCGCGCTCGCCGGCCGCGACGGGCGCAGGTCGCCGACGCCGCTGCTCCAGTGGGCGGCACGCGGCCATAGCCGCCGCGCAGCGCTCCAACTGGAGCCACCATGTGACAGCGGCCATGAAGTGTTCCACGTGGCCGGCGCCGGACGCTTCGTCCGACACACCACGCCGCCCCGGCACACCAGCGCGCCGTGCCGCCCGACACCGTCTGTCCAGCCGACAGCATCGCCATAGTCCGCTGCCGGCCGGGACCCGACTGTGACCCGGGACACCGGTCAGCCTCCCGGCGTCCCTGACTGCCCGCGGCGTTTCCGGGACATCGGTCAGCCCCAGGCGGCCCTGACTGCCCGCGGCGTTCCCGGGACACCGGTCAGCCCCCGGCGGCCCTGACTGCCCGCGGCGCCCCCAGGACACCGGTTAGCCCCCCGGCGGGTCTGACTGCCCGCGGCGCCCCCAGGACACCGGTCAGCCCCCCGGTGGGTCTGACTGCCCGCGGCGCCCCCAGGACACCGGTCAGCCCCCCGGCGGGTCTGACTGCCCGCGGCGCTCCCAGGACACCGGTCGGCCCCCGGCGGGTCTGACTGCCCGCGGCGCTCCCAGGACACCGGTCAGCCCCCGGCGGGTCTGACTGCCCGCGGCGCTCCCGGGACACCGGTCAGCCCCCGGCGGGTCTGACTGCCCGCGGCGCTCGGCCGGTGCGCGGTCGGGCAGAGCCCACGGCCGTCACCAGACGCCGTCCGGTGCGCCTGTGCGTGTGTGCAGAGAAAACACAGCCGCCGCAGAGGCGCCGGGCGGGGAGGCGGCTACCTGGCAGGAGATCCGCCCCGTCCCGTGTCAGACAGGTCAGCGCCTGGCTGGAGATCCGCCCTGTCCCGTGTCAGACAGGTCAGCGCCTGGCTGGAGATCCGCCCTGTCCCGTGTCAGACAGGTCGGCGCCTTGCCGAAGATCCACTCTGTCCCGTGTCAGACAGGTCAGCGCCTGGCTGGAGATCCGCCCTGTCCCGTGTCAGACAGGTCGGCGCCTGGCTGGAGACCCGCCCTGTCCCGTGTCAGACAGGTCGGTACCTAGCTGGAGACCCGCCCTGTCCCGTGCCAGACAGGTCAGCGCCTGGCTGGAGATCCGCCCTGTCCCGTGCCAGACAGGTCGGCGCCTTGCCGAAGATGTTAGTGCCATAGACTAAGACATACATTACTACCTCGATCGTGTGTCTTTTTGCAATATGTACGGCAAGGGGCCCCTATCTATACACTAAAAAAAAAAATGACACGACCAAGACGCGAGCCAAATGCGTCAACACATCCAATAGTTGCCACTCAGCAGCCAGTGCGGCTCCTTGCGTGAATGCAATGGCTTCGCTTGATGCACGCGTCCGGCTGCAGCCAGCCTGCCGGCGCCCTCCGCGACTGCGCCAGCTCGCTCCGTCACTGGAGGCCGTCAACAGCGCCGGCCCTTTGTGCCGGTCCCCGCGACCGCAGCCCCCTCCCCCCCCCCCCCCCCCACCTCTCAGTACCTGTACGGCACGTGCGGTGCCCGTTCCACCAGCGATGTGATGACACGGCCCAGGGTCAGCAGACTCTGGTTGATGTTGCCCGCCTCTCGCGCGCGCCGGTCGACGGCCCCCGATCTGCGGCAGAGGTCACGTCCGGTCAGAGCACGCGCAGGAGGCCAGGCGCTCCTCCCTTCGCATTTTGCTCAGTGTTAGTCCACAGCGACCGAACACATATTGATCGGTCGAATCAATGGTACCAGACCAGTATGAGGCCACTTCAAATGAGTCTCGTGTGTGGCCGTGTCCTGTGTACATGGTAACACGACCCGCACACAGTGTCACCCTTATCTCCGGGCAGCACACACAACTCTCAACCGCAGGCAGAACCATGCAGGTCACGTTGGACCGCCAGCAAGTAGTGAGTCGCGAAGCGCGCCGCCTTCGCCCACCCGGGACAGCCAGGCCGTTCACCTCCTCGCCAGCGTCGCCGATCGTCGCTGGCCGTCACCCGACAAGCGGGTACGCCCTCAAATACGCCAGGCGATGACTGATTAACGGCAGACACTGGCGGTGTCCCGAGCGGCCCGAGCCGGCGGCGCCGCGGCCGGCCGGCCGGCCGGTCCGGCGGCTGGCCGATCTCGCCTCACCTGCCCACATTCTCGCTGCCGGCCAGGTCCACCAGGTTGAGCTTGCCGGTCTTGAGCAGCTCCTCGCCGTCGACCGTGTTCTCCTTGATGTGCACCGTCACGGAGAAGACGGTGTGGGAGCGACTGCGGAGCGGGGCGGCAGCCGGTCAGGTGCAGGTGGCTGGCCACAGCGCGCCCGAAGCAGGCCACAGCAACCGGCGCAATCGCCACGACAGTGGGAACTTTGCTTCGGATACTTCGGGTTGGAGTACTTTGTAATTTCGGAAAATTCGCGAGTTCTGTTGACGTTCCCCAGTTCTGTAGCTGCATGCATACGGCAGCCACATGTGTTCTGAAAATGTTCATATTTTAGGCGATTAGGTGGTGTGTTCGGAGGCGGATGGGTTCACGAATGAAAGAATGGGGAACAAATCAGGTGATTAAAAAAAAAACAAATTCAACCCTCGTTACTCCACGTCGCAGTTTTAAAATGCGGGCTCTGTGCATCTCTTGCATGACCTCTAATGAGTAGATAGTCATAGACAACAAAATAACAGCTTAACGCATACCCTGGCGGCGTGCGCCCGCCTCACGCGCTAGTCAAAAGAACCAAACCGGCAACCACGCAGTTTCGCGCACTGGTAGCAGCGAGGCTTTGCGACATGAATGTTCGGTTGGGCATGCTTCAGCGAGCCCCGGACCGGTGCAAAGCGTCAAATTCAGCTTTCGAAAGCAGTTTGTTCTAGAAGCACCCGGCCCGGGAACGACGTGAGCGCATTTACGCCGGCCGTTGCGGCCACAAGACCGCGCGACAGTCAATCACAGGTCGGAGACCGGTCCCAAGCGCCTTTCCCACCCTGAGGTGGCCACCCGGGAGCGTTCCTGCGGACGAGCCTCGCGGGCGCACCCGAACAACTCTGGTCAGGCCGGACAGCAGACGTCACTGCTGACACCGGTTGGAGTTCTGCAGCGCGCCGACCGCAAATGTGGTTGCTGGCACTGGGGACGCCACTGCTGGTATATCGGTTCGGCACATGCTGTTGTAGCATGCGGCTTATGCACGCTATGGGCCATCACACAACAGTGGGCAATGCACAGAAAACGTTGTTCATCTCAGAGTGGGGAAGACAGTTGGGAAGTCATGGTTGGAGGTTGGTGAAAATAATTAATGGCTTTTTAGATGACAGGCGCTGAGGTGATGCGTCTGCGTGGGTCGTACGGTTTCTAATGAGCGTCGGCTACAATCTCTTGGTTCGTTGGCAGAGGGTGTCGCATGTACAATCTTCCAGAATTAACTCCGGAGCGCAAATTTAATTTCGGTGGAATACCCCGACAGAGTGCGAAAACTCCACAGCTGCGCGAGACCGAGCGAGCTCGTCAGTCCCAGCCAGCGGCAGCAGGCACGCTGAAACCACGATACCGGCGCCACCTATATCCACCGGGTGAAGGCGAGCTGAACGATCTTCCGCCATCCGCCGCCAGATGGACATTCGACTCCGGTCGGCGGTCGTCCGGTGATGCCGGTGGCGCCGACCTGGAGTGGATGTTCATCAGGAGGACGTTCCCACCTGGAGTGGGTGTTCAGGAGGAGGTTCTCACCTGGAGTGGATGGTCATCACGAGGTAATCCTCACCCGAAGTGGGTGTTCATCAGGAGGCAGTGCTCACCTGGAGTGGGCATTCATCAGCGTGGCGGCCGTCTGGCGCTTCTGCGAGCCCAGCCGCAGGATCTCGTACACGTCGTTCTTGTTGTGCACCGTCACCTCCTCCAAGCCTTGAATGATGCACGAGCCCTTCTTGCTGGCGTCTTCGTACAGCCTGGCGGCAAACAGCAGGCCGGCATTCAGCGGAGGTTCGCTCCCACCAACTCCACAGATCAGAGCGCATCACATACCGAGGTCAGGCGGTCTGCCACAGCGGGACACCACAGCTGCGTCTGCGAACGGGATGTGCGACGATGCGGCAGTCCACAGCGCACGCAGTGAGCAGCTCGTGAGCATCGTCAAGGTGACATACTGTAAAAATCATACTATCACTGTGCGCTGTGCTACATAGGATCAACTACACAGCCAGACAGCCTGGCGGCCAAACCCCGCGGCGGTCACCGTGTCACCGACCGACTGACATCAATGGACCTGGCACCAGACAGACAGACACGCCATCAACCGATACATGGGGTCAGCGACCGTCGCCGCACGTCCCTTAGCAGTCATGCCGCACCGCATCACAAACCAAAGCGCCGCACCACCAGTCACCACATCACGTCACCAGTGGGTGATGTGTGCCCGGTGACGCCGCGTCACCAGCGTCACCGGCCTCACCTCAGTCGGGTGGTGTCCGTCTCGGGCCCGAGCAGGTCGAACAGCTCCTCGTTGTACAGCTCCAGGAAGGACACGCGCACGGTGAACTCCACGCCCTGGATGCGCAGCTCGTCGAACAGCTGGCTGAGCGTGCGCGGGGATGATTGCCCACGTCCGGGTCCTGCCAGCGAGCCGGACAGCGGTGAGAAGGGCCCCCCGGCACCGCCATGCATGCCCGCCGCCACCCATTGTCCTCCTCCCCGCGTTGGGGGATCATGGTTGTTGCCGCCAACGCGTTCACTCCCAGAGAGGGACGGAGTGGTGCGGATGTCCGAGACGCGCGCCGCAACCACGTTTCAACCCGCGCGGAGACGCGCGGCATTGTCCAGCACCAAACAATGTACGTCGCCCGGCGCCACTCAGGAGCTCAGCAGCTCCGAGGCGAACTCTGTCGCAGGTGACTGAATGCGTGTTCCGCCGCCGGCCGTTCACCTGCACACCACACCGCCAATCAGCCACGCGACTGCTGCTGGTCGTGCATGATAACCAGCGGCTTTTCAAACGCTGGCCGGACCGCGTCAGCCGGCCCGCAACGAGTGCCGCGGCCCGCCGTCGCTGCGCGCTCGGCCCGCTGGGACGGGTGGATTTTACGAGTGAAAAGACGCCCGGCACCAGCGACGACGAGCGCCACTCGGACGTGCATGAGTGCTGGCGACAGCCATTCGACCCGAGACAGAAGCACCCGACGGCCGCACGCGCGCCGTCGGCCGCACGCTATGACCGACCTGGTCCAGGGCAGCTGTGTGTCCGCTGCGCTCGCCCTCCATGGTGAACGTTGCCGGTGCCGGTCTGGCCGTAGGCAAATACGGTGCAGTTGTAGCCAAAACAGCACCTGCTCCAACAGCGGCAGCACCACCACGCGTACACGTCCACATGTCGGGCAGGGACGTCAGTCATCGGCCGGCCGACCAGGCAGTGCTAGTGGGGCGCAGCCAGGCTTCGGGCCCACCGGCTCCAGCATGCAGACGGTGGGTTCAGCGCGCTGCGGGGCGGAGGGAAGGCATACCACGGCACCGGTGCGCGCTGAACCGCCGCCCATCCAGCCAGCTTTGCCACCCACCACACCCCCCCCCCCCCACCCCCCCCCCCCCCCCCCCCACCCCCCCCCCCCCCCCCCCCCAGCACCAACTATTTAAAAAAGCAGTGAGTCTGGCTACGGCACCGACCATCAAAGCATTTGCACTAATCCGACCGTCATTCAGATCTATCAAAAACGTCATGCTGTTGGTGTTCCGCGGCCATTGCAGCCTCAGTGCAGACTCCCGTCGGCACCGTCCTCAGCCCGGACGCTGCCCACGCCAGCCGCAAACGGCGTCGGTCGCTTACCTGCTTGGAGTCGGGTCCGAACACACGGTCGAAGGTAAATGTCTTGGCAAACTTGTCTTGAGGCCGCTCCTTCAGCGTCACCGTGTGGTCGGAGGTGCTCAGCACCGAGAACGAGCCGCGGCCCCGCTCGCTGCTGTTGAGCGGCCTGGGGACACAGGCGGTGCCCGTCAGCGGCGGCACAGCGGCGCGACGAGAAGGACGGACAGCGGCCACGCCGCACGCCTCGCCCCTTTCGGCTAGTGATGGGCATGCCATCAAGCATCTTACCCACAGTTGACCAGCATGCTATGACTGTGGTCAAGCCACCAAAACATGATATTCCATAAGCAAATGTAAACCTGGAAAGTATGTGACATATCACATCTTACATAAAACATGCTGCAGGATGAAAAAGGCCATGAATGTGAAAATACAGAGTACATGTGAAGCTGATTACACACAGCCAAGTAAGTACAATGAGAAAGAGGTAAATTCCATCTCTGCAAGTGCCCATCACATTTCCAGGGAAAAATGAGCTAGGACAGTATTTGCATACTTCTGGTGCACTACATTTGCACATAAACAACTTTACTAGGATACAAATTATCACATTATGGTTGCTTTGTAACAAAGTTTTGCTTCAATGCATGGATCTCAGTAATTGATTCACATTTCTGTAACACATATTACATATATATGTATATAAATATATATATATATATATATATATATATATATATATATATATATATATACCCATCAAACAAGATGCATTTGTTGATTGAAAAAGCAGAAACCGAGCATGACAGCTTAAAGTAACTTCAAATCTGCATTCCCTGAAAACCTGACATGACCACAAAAAAACATGGAAAATTAATTGGCAAACCAATTTACTCACCAATTTAAGAGAATGCAGGGCAACATGAGTACAGAGGGGTCCAGGTCTATACAAACCAATATCACTGGCAGGTACTTTACACACAAATTCCTCTGAAACCTGGCATACAATGCCTGGAGTTTGGTAGTAGTCTTTCAAACTTTGAAGCTTCTGTGAAATTACCCAGCAGTGGTAAAAATGATTAAAGACAGTGTCTGATACTAGGCTCCATTCAATAATTTTGCACTTTCCTTGCCTTTGCAGAGCACAACCACCTTAAAAGCATAAGTCGAATCAGCTTAATATAATTTACAGCATTTGCATAATCATTACACTATCCTGCTCATGAAACAATTGAGTTTGCCCAGAAATTGTCAGCCAGCTTAATGGTTGGCCTCAGACAAATATAACATGGCTTCCATGGATTAAATCATCCCCTGTCCCAATCATCTGCACAATATTCAAAGATGTTTGTTTAGGGGGGGGGGGGCAGGGAAACAACTTGACTGGGGCTCTACCCATCCCCAGACATCACAGCTGCAGCATTGCATTCAAATAGAATATATAAATAGCACATCTTTTATCAAAGTTCCTAATTCAACATCATAATGGTACAAAGACAGCATGCCATACTAATATCGACATATCATAGGTGTATCATTTATTTTACTCACATTGTCAATTAATCAATGGCTAGCAAGATCAATTACTATGTTAATCAGCATTGTCATGCCTATACATAAAATATGGTCAGCGACATGAGATTGTTACTTTTCATTTGAAGGCAATATGATACAATCTTATTATTTCCTTTTATTGTCATACTGTTTTTTTAAGGGAACACACAATGTTGTAAAACCTCTAATGCAGTGTTGGCAAATAATGTGGCCATATGAGCACTCAAGTCATGCACATCCTGAATTTGAATTTGGGTAGTCAAAACTGTTAATCACTCAGTC